ACAGATGGATTCCTTCCCAGAGAATAACAGAGGTTAGTGAACGTTCTGAATTCAATTAATTTTATATTACTAAAGTATGTAGTAGTTTTTTAAATCATCAAAACTTTCAATCTATAACTTTTACGTCATCGAAGACTAACATCATAAATCATTTGCTCGTATTCGCGCCTGCGATGTTTATTTACTGTTTTGTCCAAGATATTTATTTTTCTATTAACCGAAAAAAGTTTATAAAATTTTAAGACTTTTTAAATTTTCAATTGACTAGAGTTGTCTTAAGTCAAAGTAATCTTACGGATACGACTGTACGACAAGATATAAAACAAAATCTTTAATACAAAATGCTGCTAATACAAGAGAGCTAAACTGATGATGGGACAAACATGGTCAAACAACAATTTAGGCAATTTAAAGTAAAATGGTCATCTTTTCATGTAAAGGATGAGAGATACAGAAAAACAAATGGTAAATAGCTAGTTGAAACTGTTCAGTTACTCAAAGGCATAATAGCTATTCTAAAACTAGGAAATGATCGCCCAACTAAATCGTTTGAGTACTTTAGTTAGATGGGCGATGGAACAACTGCGGAAATCAGCTAGAATTGATGAACTTATATTTGCCACATACATATATCTCAGAGCCACTGGCAAAGCAGAAAAAATTTTCGTTAGATCCTCGAAAATAGTAACAAGATACAGAAAACCTAATGGAGAAAGTTTTAAAGAACCAAGAAAGCCGTCGTCTCCAGCATTTTCTATGTTTTCCGAAGCAAATTTATCAACTATGGGAATACTATTTTTTACACATCTTGAGATTGCCGCTTAAATTACAATGTCTGAACGTTCAGATTTGCTTATGTTTGAAAGTTATATCAGAAACAATAGCATCTATAAAATTGACACCGATAAGTTTGCTACTTATGAAATGGACAAAGCAGAACTATATCTACAACTGTATCCGTAGACTCCAACATTGTACAGGCTTTGATTCACACAGAAAACTGCTTGTTTTTAGATTATATTTATTTAATCATGAAGTAAAAGCTAATCCTTTAATTAAAACGAAAATATTTTTTTTTAACATGATAGAAAATTTTCAAATTAATGTTAAAATATCATACCAGACTGAAACGACAAGAAACCGCTCGACGTTTCCGATTACTTCAGCACATATTAGACAAACGCTCTAAACTTTCAATCAATTACAAAAGACTCATATACTTGACTATAATAAGGCCTATTTGGACTTACGGAGTTGAGCTATGAGGTTTCACTAAACCATCGAATTCCTCTCGTATCCAATCCTTACAATCCAAAATCCTTCTTAAAATCCTCAATGCTCCTTACTTTGTTACAAATAAAACCATCCATAATGACCTTAATGTTTCTTTTGTTTCAGATCTGACCCAATCCAGATACCTATCCTTCCATAATAAACTTCAGAATCATCCCAACCCTCTCGTTTCTAGCCTTGCTTCCTCTTCAATTCCTGATAACTCTCCGAGGCGTCTGAAAAGAAGATGGCCCCGTGATCTCCTAATGCAAACATATCATTAGAGTGCTACCATTGGATAGTTACTCAGCAAGTGTTTTTCATGTCATTATATACAATATGTTCAAATTTACTAGATGTATTTATTTAATACAGTTGTAAATGTCTTTAAGACATAAAAAAAAAAAATGTTAAAATGTGGAAAAATTGTTCCGCATTTAACTTGTGGCAGTGTTTTAAAAATTGTTACATTTTTTTTTATGAATCTTTTTTTTTTTAATAAAAGTTTCATTGTAAAATTTTCTGTGAAAAAAGGTTTTTAAAATAAAAGTTCGCTGTATTTTTTTAAAAATAAAGTTTATGATAAACGTTGAACTTTTATTTACATAAGTTCTTAAAAAAAAAGAATGAGAAATAAGTAGTAATTTGGCGTATTTTAGAGTTATAATTTATCCTAGGACTGATATTACATTTGTGGCTAGTTGTTGAAACAGTAATATTATTGAAAAACAAAATTGCATTAAACAGAATTATTTATTTATGTTCATTGCTGCCTCTATCCTGTAGTGATAAAAGAATTAAAATTTATTAAAAAGAATTAATAAGTTAGGACATTTTAATTGTTGCATCAAGGTCCCCGATTGGGGAAACTTATACCGGAAAACTTATATATAATATAAAACTTATATAACTTATATATAATATAATTAACTTATATATAATATAATATATATAATATAATATAAGTGAATATAATATAATTATGTTATATTATAATTATATTATAATGTGTTATTAATAACAAAGAGGAGAATAGTTGGGGTGTTCAGTCAAAAAGGAAGGCAAAATAAATGAAAATATTTATTTTCTTAAAAATAAATATTTTCATTTATTTTGCCTTCCTTTTTGATTGAACACCCCAACTATTCTTCTCTTCATTATCCACGACAGTCAACCAATTACCAATTATGTTATTAATAATACATTATAATATAATATAATGGGAAACTTATATATAATATAATTGGGGAAACTTATACCGAAGAAATATATGATAATATTTATTGAAAATATAATGAAATATTAATTAAAATAGTAACGCATTTTCAAAATGTATATAAATATTTAATTATTATTCAGGTGTTATCTCTATAATATACCATTTGTCACTAAAACTACTTCTATAATTATATTACTTCATAAATTAATAAATCTCAACTACGTGAAAGCAAAAAAGTTCAAAAATAATTTCGGCCAGGTCACAATTAACCACTGTACGACGATTTCCAACTTTATTTTAAACGACTTGAAAAAAATTGACTTTACCTGTGTTTTTATTCCTAAGCCCAGTATTTTATAATATTATTTTTGAGTTTTATTATTCTCTGACAATTCAGCTTTAATAAAAGGACAATTATGACAAAATTAAGTCAAATGCTGAATCTCACGGACCTAAAAACTAACTCAAATCAAAGTCGTCAATCCACCATAGTTGGACGCCATTTTAGGACAATGCAGCCACTTTGTGGGAATGGTGTATTTTTTTTAATTAATAGTTATAACGATCGCAACGATATGCAATTTATTGACACGTGGGAGGAATGGGAGGGGATGTACGTTAGGAGGGTCTGGCCCACTGACTAACTATTCATATTTAGATGTTTTTGCTTTGTATTTAATGGAACATGGCTGGGTGGCTGTTTCAGCAAGGTTTTCTTATCACTTTTCTTTATTAGAGAAGTTGGAAATTGTGATTCATTAATCTGTAATTCTACATTTTTTAGTTTAAAACTATGCAGAATTTATTTTTTTTTTAATTATAGAAAAACCTATTGGCCCCCAAATCAAGGTGTCTATTACTAGTGCAATATACGCTTTCAGAATATACTTTTTGTCAAGTTCATGATGCTATAACTAATTAGCTGGATTGAAAAAATGTAAATTTTTTTTAGGAATTAAACCCATTCGTAAAGATTCGACATCAGAACTAAAAATTAATGGTTTATATTAATGATGAAAATTTCTCATGAAGTGTCTATTACCGGTATATTTACTTTAAAATTAATGTAATTGTTAAGAATATAAAGGCTGTGTAATTGAGGTAGGCAGTAGATATATATGGCAATAGCAGGTTATAATAGTTTTTAAAGCTTAATGTATTTTCTAAGACATGTTTTTAACGGAAAATTGTACTCAGTTTTAAATAAAATAATATTGATCCGAAAACTGGGTGCCTATTATTGACGCAATTTAAGTTCTCAGAATTTCATATGTTATTCACGAAAAATTAACGAATTGGCTGTATAGTGAAAAAAATGGATGAAAGACTAAATTTTCGGACAATTTAACCCATTTGCAGAGAACATCATCAAATTCACATTACCTATTACCGGTACGTTTACCTTATACGGGGTGTCTTTAAGGTTTCAAATAGGTTACTGTAGTATTGTTTGCTGAAAACATGGATGCTTTTAAGTGACAGGATATCAATAAAATTTTAGGTGATTCAACATATTTCGTGATAAACCCTCATCTCAATTACTGTGGACTTAGAGCTTACTAAACAAGGATTCTAAAAGTGAGGTAACTGTAGTATAGTTGGAGGGTAATAAAAAAGCTTGTGAATAATTTATGAATTTTTTTAAGCCTAGCTTAGTTTAGTCGCTCCAATGTCCTTTTTAAATGGTTTCGCCAATGACAAGCTCCACCTTCATTTGAAGTCATTTTTATCTTGTTTATTGTTAAGTAATTTTAAGTAATTAGCTAAGTTTAGTAATTTTTTTTTTAGTTATCGCTTCCTTTCGACAATAAACATGACTTTCTTAAAAAAACAAAACTTAAATTAAATTAAACCTACTTTTCTGCTGAAATTTGACAAGTGTTTATATGAATTTTTTGAAAGATGAAGAGAAGAATAGTTGGGGTGATCAGTCAGAAATAAGAAGGCAAAAATAAATGATAATATTTCTCATAACATTTGCCGACGTTTCGACCTGAAGTTCAGGCCTTCATCAGGCCTTTCATAAACTTCTCCAACAACCTTTTTGGGAGCAGCCTTGATGAAGGCCTGAACTTTAGATCGAAACGTCGGCAAATGTCAAATTAAATATTATCATTTATTTTTGCCATCTTATTTTTGACTGATCACCCCAAATATTCTTCTCTTCATTATTCACGACAGTCAAACATTTACCCACAATTATGAACTTTTTGAAAGTTCTTGAGTTCTACTATAACCCCTTTACCTACAGGACACCCGATGTATTTATTTTTATATGATTTGTTTACACCGAAATTCTTTTTCTGTTGTGAGGAGAGAGGGTGGGAGGGCTGGGCCCTTATTTCAGGTTTCTTTTTCGTATTTTTAAACAAATATATATTTTTGAGGATTTTTTATTTCAAAATCTTGACCTAAATAAAAAGTAGTCACTCTGCCTTGCTATACTGTACAGCAGAAGAAGAGCCAGACAGTCCCGGACGATACCCCGTTGATCGGGAGTAGACGGGAGCTACCCCTGGAGGGGGTGAGGGGGGCGGAGGGGAGCAGCCCAGACTGCGCAGGAACGGAGCTCAGTGAGTCGTGCCATCCCTGCGTATCCACGTCTTCTCTCTGGATACTCAACTTCTTTTACACACTCTCTTATCTAAGGTCAGTGTTTCCATTCTTATAGTCCATATACTTACCATTCTCTGTCATCTTATAGTCGTCTGTGATGGCCTAACTCATTGTTCATGTTTTAATATAAGATTCATCAATTCTACCTTAAATATATGTATCAATTTTAATTTATAATCACTCTCTGAGTAAATATCTACAAGCAAATAACATGTTTATTTATTGTCTATCACCATAACCTCACCAATCTGATTACTGCGCATTTAGCCTTATCATGAAGGCCATGCCCTACTAAAACATAAAAACGTGTATTTTTCTCTCTAGTTTATTCTTAATTCTTAAAATTATGTTATAATTACTATAAATTGATCTATTTGTAATATTTTAACTAACTTTTATATATTTTGTGTCCTGTATCCATAGTTAAACTAAGGCTTAAACTGTATTTAAACCTTGTTAGGAGATACATTTGCAATTCGTATGGCCGTGAATCGGTGGTGGGGGAAGGGTGGGAATCGAGATTTCTCGTTTTGGCCATCTTCAAGCACGTGGGTCTCATTTTTCTTTTAATTTATTGCAATTTTCCTCATAGCATTACTAGTAATTATGACTATTTATTCTTTAATCACTTGTTTTGATAATATTAGTATTGTAAGTATTATTTTTTGTAAAGAAAACACATATTTGTTTTTCTAAATCTGCTTGACTATATTACTAATTTAAGCATGAACCTTTATTTTATATATATTTATATAACCTTACGTATTTATCATATTTTATTTTTATCATATATTAATATTTCTGTTCTAGTCCGTTATCAAATCTAGTTCATTATCTATAAAAATGTAAAATTCATGAAACATAAATAGTTTTTTTTTTTATATTTAATTCATCAATTGTGTTTTCACGTCACTATATCCATTTGTACAGATTTACTAGATTTATTTCTTTAATACAGTTGTAAATATCATTAAGAAATAAAAAATTCATCAATAATGTCTTTTACAGGTTTGCCAACCCAAATGACAGTGTCATAATTGGTTAATATTTAATTATGTTGTCCTTAGGTTTATTTATATATCAAATTTTTTAACAAATTTTGATATCATTTTTACTTTTTATTTAAATGTTTTACTCATACTGCTCTACATAATATTTGTGTCATAATATTGTTCTTACAACACTGTTCACTTTTATAATTAACATAAGTATAATTATTTTTTTAAAGTTTTCATGAAATGTTATGCATTTAACCTTAAGTTCCGTTTTAAGACTTCGCGGCAATATTGTTTCTGCCTCCCACACCATTATTTAACATTCGAGGAGTCTATTTGATTTAATATTTAATTACTAAATAGTAACATGCTGTCATTTTGTGGTATCCTAGAGATCAGTCATTTTGAAACCTAAATTAATAGGTTATTCTTATATTAAAAATCCACCCATATTTTAGACCTTGTATTTTTCCTGCAGGTTTTGCATAAAGGCGGATCTTCAAGGTGCCCAAATGAAATTAAATCATCTTTATTGACAAGATGATATTTCCTGCATAGTTTTAGAACGAACATTTATGATTTTAGAAAACTAAAAACATTCCTTATGCGGTGTAAAATATTTTTTTAATTGCTTAAATTGGATGTTTTATGAACAAATCATTACAGAAAACCCTTCTTGTGATTAGATAAATTAAATCTGAAAGATCAGAGATTTCTTACCTGTTGAGGTTCTTAAAGCCCCCGGTAGATCTATGGTATCGAAGGATGACATAATCTTGCTAGACAGGACTAAAGATCCTTGAGACTGTCTGGGTTCCGCCGATTGCGGATCCTGGCGAGACCTTGCGGTGCCGTGGTATCTTTTGGTCTGACAAGTCATCCAAACCATCATCATGGTTTACACCGTTTCTTCGACATGACCAACTATTGTGTTCCAGTGTAGTTTGAGAGAAGTCTTATCTCCATTCATTGGATTGTTGGATGATGGATCATAAAAATTTCTTTTCAACATAGTAATGTCATAAAGAACTTCTGCACTTCGACTATATTGTCATTGTTAATGGCGTTCTTAACATGAACTCTTCAAATGATCATCAAAACTAAACAATTCTAATCAAGTCATTCATTAGGCTCTGTGAGCACATTTCTATTTAGCAATATTGTAAAAGTCTAAGTGATTCTGTGAATCATAGTTCCACGAAGATTATATTTAGTTGTTATGAATTAATACTTGGACATGCCTCAATCTAACGCAATAACTTATTTTGTCCAGCTATAATGGCTTAAGTTGTAATAATGTAACATTACAACCCATGTCTGGTATTGTATCCGTATTGATCGTTTCTCTTTGTCAGTATTATTGAAATCAGTAATATGGACTTGGATCTGTGAAATATGGACGTTTGTCTGAGATCAGCTCCTGACTGCATGAAATCTTTGTCACGTGGGATGTCTCCTTGGACTATTGTCTGAAAATTATATTGCCGATTAGAATTGGACGCAGATAACTAATTAACAAAATATTTTTAAATTCTGCACATGATTATTATTTGGATCCTGAAGCGTTCAGTGTCTTATTGTTCCTTGATTTGTCCCATTTCTTTTTTAAAAATCAACCTACGAATGAAAGTGGGCGACTAAACATAAATAGATATTCTTCCCCAGTATATTTTATAATTCAATGTCTTTCAAGTAATTATCAATGAACCTCATTAGTGTGTATTGGTATGTTTCTATGAAATTATTATTTTTAAATTATTCCTCGATAATAGCTTAATGTTCCCTCTCCTTATTACCAGAGTTGTCAAGATGTATATGAAGTACATAAACAGGTCTAATGTCATTATCTAATTTGTGATTTTAAACTTAAGTAATTAATTCTATTACCTCTTTTAACGTGTTATGCTTTTCTTTATTTCTTACTTCTGATTGTTTGAGGGCATATCAGTGTGATTTCGTCGCTATCGCTATCATTTTTTCCTCCGAAAACCGCCTTATACCATGAGTTTCCGTACAATTGACTTTTAGAATTTGAGTTGGAAAAGTTCCTATAGAATTAAATAATTAATTAGCTAATTCACAAGTGTTTTGTGACCACAGAACCTCTTAATTTTGCATTTTGTGGTTTTTGTCTTTTTTTACGTACAGTAAACATTTCATTAGTTACACAACATTATGGTTTACAATTTTGTTGTTTATTTATTGTAAACAACACTTTTTTATTGTAGTTATTTTCTGCTATAGACTAAACAAGATATGATCCTAATTTTTTTAAAATAATATTGAATATTATTATCACTGAAGTTTCACTGTCTCCGTGAGCTTGTTATGTGTATTGTCAATATTCTGTTTGTTCAAAAGGTATTCAAAATATAATATGCGTTACTGCAAAACTGTTTTCATATTCAGTTGAGGTTTTATTTAACTTACTACTTATTATTATAAAATGTTTTGAAATCAAATTTTAAGCGGCGAAATATCTATACAAAGGCGCATAGTGTATTAAGAAATTATTCTTTACAATAGAATTTTATTGCATCGGAGCCGTTCGGTAATGAGGCGCTCGACTTTTGTTATCGACCAAGTAATAAACTCGACCAAAGAGATAATCCATTTTTTAAAATTGCCACTTTCCTAGTTCTTTGCCACGTGCGATTCCATTATCTAGGTCATACTGCTTATTATGACAATAGCTAGCTTCAGCTGTTTTCTGGTCGTGTTATTCATTTTAATTACTAGTTTGTCGTAGTATACCGAGATTAAATAATGTATTTGTAAATATTACAATATCTAAAAAGTGAATAATATTTACATTAGTATTGCTATTAACCTTCCTAAAATACAAGATGAATACATTCAAATAAAGAACTTTCATAAATAAAATAATGTAAAATTATAAGGGGTTAGAGAAAAATCGGGTACTGTCGTATTGAAGCAATTATTACACATTATTTTAAAAAAAAATTGATCAAATGCATTAATTGGTTGATGTTAACGGTTTCATAAAGCTTATCGAATAATCAACTAATGATAATTTTTAAAGAGAAATGCAAGTACAATTTTATGTTTGATTGGTAGACTAATTTACTTTCTGTAAATTTTGTTTTGTCTAACTCAATTAATTAATATAGGTAAGTGAATAAATAAAAAATGTTGTTGCAACAATACATAATTATGATGGTGTGCATGTTCTAATATTGATAAATTAGATTCAAATGTTAAACTTAAACATCATGCATAATTGTAACATTCATTTCTGATTTTATTAATATTACTTTTTTTCTTTCTTCTTTTTTATCATATGTTGTTCGTTTTATTATATTATAAATATTATGTTATAACAGATTTAAATTATATAATAAATTTGCAAGTATATTTGTATTTTGGATTAACTTTCATTTCATGGGTAACGATTATGAGAAATTGTAGAACATTACATTGTAAAATTTATAATATAATGTCTAAATTATAAATTAGATAAATAATGTCCTTTTTTACTTTACCAACATTAAATGTTTAGGTAAATTAAAATAGGCGCTATGTATGGCAAATTACAAAATGTTTTCTTTCAAGCAGTAATCTCTGTTTACCAAAAATTTCGCTTAATGTGTTTTTCAGTCGTCACTTCACTTGAATTTTCTACTGATTGACATAAAGTAATATAAAAGTAATTATACATGTATTTGGATTAAAACAGTTGTAACTGCTATCATTGCACTACAAACTAAACATGTGAACAGTATATTTCATCATTATTCTTTTTTAAATTCTTTATGAATTAATGTGATTAGTTATTTTAATTAATTTTCATACAAGTATGTTCTTAGAGATAAATAAATTAATGATATTAACGATGGAACATTGAATTCGTAACATTAAATGGGAAAGAACTCTATTTAAACGTTCTTTAAACCACAACGGAGCTGATGTTTAAATGTCTCAGTTAAATGGTGTAGAGATTTAATGTTTTAAATTTGCTTCCCTCTGCTAGTATTTGCATTAGTCCATTTCTAAATAGCTTTTAATTAATGTATTGTATTATACATTTTTTACTATCAAAAAGTCTCTTCGAAATTCGGATACTGAATACAGGATTGTAGAAATAAAGAAGTAATATACTTATCTGTAGAAGAAATAATTCATCGATAGAACGTTTTTAGTCTAAATGCCCTAAAACTACCAAATTATGTTTGTTTTTAAACTAATTTCAGATAGCTACTTCAAATTTGTTATTACGTTGTTTGTTTGTATAATACATAGTTTTTTAATAATCAAATATTGAATTTTAAAAATATATTTTTAAATTTTATATTGTTTTGGAGATTCCTTATATATATATATATATATATATATATATATATATATATATATATATATATATAACTTTAAAGAATACAGATGTGGGTATAACATACGTAAACTTGATGAATAAGTTTATATTAATTAATAAAATTAAGCTACAATTTAATATATTTTTATAAATAAATCCTTGATTTAATAAATAAATAAAATTAATTTAGTCTAAATTGAAAGAATTAATCTACAGTATAAAATGCCATATGATAAGGATTTGAGCTCCACTGTTGAAATATTGCGACTGGCTTTGGGTGTGTTCCTCAGCTCTGTGTCCCATGATATCCTAGGCTAGAGATCTCCCTGCAGCTGACAATTCCCTCCTGCGAGAATGGTCCGCTAATACCAACCACTCCTACCAGAAGAAGAAGAAGACGACGATGGTGGCCTAGAAGAAGTGATAGTTTTCCTTATTTCAAGTATTTCACGAGAGCGGACGAGACGGATAAAGCGTAAAGTGGTCCTAGGGCGGAGAGGCTGCCGCGGCTGTGGGGCCCGCTCAGGGGGCGGCTACTGCGTCATCCTCTTCTGTCATCCCTTACATAAAGTATATCCGTCACATAACAAGTACCAGTATGAGTACCAGTGCCAACTCTGCAGGGTACCGAGGAAAGACGTAGCTCCGGGATCGCTCTGCCGGGTAGAATCGTGCGTCGTAAGACCCAGTTATACAGCGACGATTAGGTTATAACACTGTCTAATGTGGTGGCAATAGAAGAGATATTTCTAATAGTAATTCAGGTATGTCCTCCTAGACATACTTTGATTCAAAATGTAAATTTAGATAATTATTGATACATTTATAGGAAGGTGATTTTAATAACAATGCTATCTTTGTATACTTGAAGAAAATTGGATCTCCTTATCGTTGTTTAACCTTTAATAGCTCTTTTGTAATGTTAACATTTTTATAATGAAATTTTTAGTGTAGTGTTCAAATTCTGTTTGAAATGGAAGCTCGAACTGCTCATTTTCGTAAACGAATAAATGCTTCGCAACCACACAAAAAGTTATAAAACGTGTACGGTGCAGAAGTCTTAAAAGAAAGGCAGTGTCAAAATTTGTTCGTAAAATTTTCTTGCGGCAGCTTTTTCCGTGAAAGAAGAAGCCGACCAGATAAATGATAAATGATAGTTCTAGCCGACCAAATGAAGTTGAAAACAACCAAATCAAAGTGGTTATCAACGAAAATCATCATAGCTCTACTCGTGAGATCGCATAGAACATCGCATTGAAAAGCGAAAGATTACACTGCTTATAAAGTCACATACTCGTGAAATCCGTTATTACTTATTTGCCAACAGTATGGGACTAAAGAACCAAAAGTCAACTGAATTTAGACAAATGACAGTCTAATGTAATAATGACAGCTTTTAAGAGTGTCTGGTTACCTTTAGAATATCGACGAATTTGAGTGGGTTTTCAGAGTTGATATGATTTTTAAATTGACTTGTAAGCCAATCATTGATTTTCAGTATAGTTTATTATTATTTCTTAATATATTTAAACTATTGAAAGATTTTAGAGAAAAAGCAC